GAACTCCTGACCTCGTGATCCAACAGCCTCGGCCTCCCAAAGTGCTGGGATTACAGGTGTGAGCCACCACACCCGGCAAAGGTATTTTTTAAACTACCACATTTACTTCGAAGCCCATTCATCTCCTTCAGCATCCCACCAATGAAGCACATGTTCTGCTTAGCTAGATAAAAAGGTGAGGCACACTTTGCACTGCTGACATCACAGGAAAGCTGTCTATAAAACTATACTTCTGATACTGGGCTCCAGCTTTGTTCTCACAGGTCATCATCCTCATCCGGGAGATGAGCTGTCTGAGCAAACTCTAGGTCTTCTTTCCGTGGAAGACAATAGATTTTGCCTTTACTTTGCTGTCCTTAATATCCACTTTGTTGCCGTACAACACGATGGTGATGATTTCACACACTGGCACTAAATCTCTATACCAGTTAGGCACATTCTTGTGTGTAATTCTTGATGTTACATCAAACATTATGATGGCACACTGGGCTACGGCTTGGATATAACAGCCATCTCTGTCCACCACATTTCTCCTGGCCGGCTGTATCCCATTTATTGACTTAATACGTTCTCCATTGGTGTGGAACACTTGGGTGATGAACCTCAACACCCAAGGTGGCTACATAGCTCTCAAATTCACCAGTCAAATGATGTTTCATGAAAGTAGTTTTTCCAGTACCACCACCACCAACCAGTACAAGTTTGAACTAGACCTGGGGCTCTCCCTGGGCAGCCATCATGGCCTTCCTTCCAGAAGTGTCTCCTGCCCGTCGGACTGAGCCATTCTTCCTTTTTTTCTTTTTTTTTTTTTTTTTTTGAGATAGAGTCTCGCTCTGTCACCCAGGCTGGAGTGCAGTGGTGTGATTTCAGCTCACTGCAAGCTCCGCCTCCCGGGTTCACGCCATTCTCCTGCCTCAGCCTCCGGAGTAGCTGGGACTACAGGCGCCCGCCACCATGCCCAGCTAATTTTTTATATTTTTAGTAGAGACGGGGTTTCACTGTATTAGCCAAGATGGTCTCGATCTCCTGACCTCGTGATCTGCCCGCCTCGGCCTCCCATAGTGCTGGGATTACAGGCGTGAGCCACTGTGCCCGGCCTCTTCCTTTTTTTTCAAGCACTATCCCTAGCAGGTGATCGGTTGTCAGATTATCCCTGATTAGTTACTCTTTCTAGAGCTAGTAGAAGATTTAAATATTTAAAGGATGCTGGGCTGGGCATGGTGGCTCATGCCTGTAATCCCAGCTCTTTGGAAGGCCAAGGGGAGAGGATCATTTAAGCCCAGGACTTTAAGACCAGCCTGGGCAACAAGACGAAACCCTCGTCTCTACTAAAAATACAAAAAAAAAAAGAAAGAAAGAAAATGTAATTAATTCCTAAAGTTTCAGAATATGAGTCCATGGGGAAAAGGTTCTAACTGATAAAACTGTTGCAAATGGGATAAAAAATGAAGTTAAAAAAAAAAAGGATATTGGTTCTCAAAACTTCTTGTTTAGCATAAAGATTTAGAAGTGGTTTCTTAAATGAACTATACTAGCAAAATAATTGAGAGACTACTTCCAGGATATAACGTATCTGCCTACTTTTTCAATTTACACACTCTGTAATGCATTGTTTGTTGGCTTGTTTTTTTTTCAATATTAAGATCCTGGGTAACATTCAATTATGTTTATATTTATTTGCCTGTCACTTATCATTAAGAGGGTTCATAATGAAGACTTTCTTCCAGGAGTTATTGACTAGGCAATTGAAATTTTGTAGTTCAGCTTTTGTGTGTTGTTTTTCTGAATGCATACGTATTTTTCTTAGAAATGTTTCCTCGGCTGGGTACAGTAGCATGTGCCTGTAATCCCAGCACTTTGGGAGGCCATGGCGGGAGGATTACTTAAGGTCAGCGGTTTGAGACCAGCCTGGCCAACATGGTGAAACCTCGTCTCTACTAAAAATACAAAAATTAGCCGAGTGTGGTGGCACACAAATTAGCCGAGTGTGGTAGCACGTGCCTGTAATCCCAGGTACTCAGGGCTGAGGCAGGAGAATCGCTTGAACCCAGGAGGCAGAGGTTGCAGTGAGCTGAGATTGCACTACTGCACTCCCGCCTGGGTGACAGAGTGAGACTGTCTCAAAGAAAAAAAAAAGAAGGCCAGGCGCAGTGGCTCGTGCCTGTAATCCCAGGACTATGGGAGGCTGAGGCAGGCGGATCACGAGGTCAGGAGTTCGAGACCAGCCTGACCAACATGGTGAAACCCCGTCTCTACTAAAAATACAAAAACTAGCTGGGCGTGGTGGTGCGCTGTAGTCCCAGCTACTCTGGGGGCTGATGCAGGAGAGTCGCTTAAACCCAGGAGGAGGAGGTTCAGTGAGCTGAGATTGCACTACTGCACTCCAGCCTGGGTGACACAGTGAGACCCCATCTCAAAAAAAAAGAAAAAAAAAAGAAAGAAAAAAAAAATGTGTATCTTTAAGCTCTCGCTTCTTTTATCTTGAATTGGACAAAATTTTGTATTCCCAGAAATATGGTTTAAATTTTATTTTTAATTTTTATGATTACATAATAGTTGTACATATTTCTAGAGTAAATACAATGTGTAATGATCAAATCTGAGTAATTGGGATATCCATCACCTTAAACATGCATTATTATTATTAAGAGACAGGGTCTCAGTCACCCCAGTGGGAGTGCAGTAGTGTGATTATAGCGCACGGTAGCCTCGAACTTTGAGCTCAAACTATCATCCCAGTTCAGCCTCTCAAGTAGCTAGGACTGCAGGTGTGTCTCGCCATGTCTAATTTTTTATTCTCGTTTTTGTAGAGAGGGAGTCTCACTATGTTGCCCAGGCAAGTCTCTAACTAGTGGCCTTAAGTGAGCCTAAGCCTCCCAAAGTGCTGGGATTTCAGGCATGAGCCACTGTGCCCAGGCATTTATTATTTCTTTTCTTTTATTTTTTGAGACAGAGTCTTGTTCTGTCACCAGGCTGGAGTGCAGTGGCCCAATCTCAGCTCATTGCAACCTCTTCCTCCCAGGTTCAAGTGATTCTCCTGCCTCAGCCTCCTGAGTAGCTGGGACTACAGGCGCGCACCACCACACCCGGCTAATTTTTGTATTTTTAGTAGAGACAGGGTTTCACCATGTTGGCCAGGATGGTCTTGATCTGCCCACCTCGACCTCCCAAAGTGCTGGGATTACAGGCGTGAGCCACTGCGCTTGGCCTGCCATTTACTATTTCTTTGTGTTGGGAACATTCTGAATCTTCTCTTCTAGCTATTTGGAAATATAGAATAGATTACTGTTAACTATAGTCACCCAATTATGCTATCGAGCAGTAGAATTTATTCCTGCTATGTAACTGTAGTTTTGTACCCATTAACCTCTTTATTCCCCCTTCACCCTCCACTCACTTTCCAGCCTCTGGTAACCACCATTGTATTCACTACCTCCATGAGATCCAATTCTTTTAGTTCCCACATATATGTGAGAACGTGCAATATTTGTCTTTTTGTGCTTTGCTTGTTTCACTTAACATAATGTCCTCCCGTCCCATCCATGTTGCTGCAAATGACAGGATTTCATTCTTTTTTATGGGTGAATAAGATTGCATTGTGTGGCTGGGCGTGGTGGCTCATGTCTTTAATCCCAGCACTTTGGGAGGCCGAGGCGGACGGATCATGAGGTCAGGAGATCGAGACCATCCTGGCTAACACGGTGAACCCTCATCTCTACTAAAAATAAAATAGCCGGAGGTGGCGGCGGGCGCCTGTAGTCCCAGCTACTCGGGAAGCTGAGGCAGGAGAATGGTGTGAACCCGGGAGGCGGAGCTTGCAGTGAGCCGAGATCGCACCACTGCACTCTAGCCTGGGCGGCAGAGCGAGACTCCATCTCAAAAACAAAAAAAACAAAGATTGCGCTGTGTATATGTACCACATTTTCTTTATCCATTTGTCTGTTGATTGACCTAGGTTGATTCCATATTTTGGCTATTGTGAATAGTACTGCAGTAAGCATAAGCATGGGAGTGCCAGAAATATTTTTAATGTTTATTCTCTTTACCAGACTGTTACCCCATTTTCCCCTTTTGGGAGGTCCAGCTCACTCTGGACTTTCGCCTCTGTGAGGATGATTTTTTTTTTTTTAATTTTCTTTGTGAGACGGAGTCTCACTCTGTCACCCGGGCCTGAGTGCAATGGCATGATCTCGGCTCACTGCAACCTCCATCTCTCGGGTTCAAGCGATTCTCTTGCCTCAGCCTACCGAGTAGCTGGGATTACAGGCGGCTTGCCACCACACCCGGCTAATTTTTGGATTTTTAGTAGAGACGGGGTTTCACCATGTTGGCCAGACTGGTCTCAAACTCCTGACCTCAGGTGATCCTCCCGCCTCAGCCTCCTAAAGTGCTGGGATTGCAGGCATGAGCCGCCGCGCCTGGCCGAGGATGATGTTCTTACAGGTTTGTGTAATTGTATTCTTCCTTATGGTTATACTTCCTGGATGCTTAATTCAGCTCGGTTGAGCATCACGTATATTTGTGGAATAAGTGGCTTACAACCAACAGGGGTAGATAAAACTGAACATGTTAAATGTTAAGTAACTGAAAAATGCTTTCAAGGCAGATCACCTTTACAAAATGAGAAACCAGAAAGGGGACAAACTACTGGAGTTTTCTGGGATGAAGTGGGACCTAGGAAAGCAGCGAGAGAAGAGTAGAAGGCGACATTAATTTCATTCACCTTTATTAATTATCTGGGAGGAGTACGAAGAGTCAATCCTAATGCGCAGTCTTCTCTGTTTGGAGGCCACAACCCCGTTAGTGCTATTTTGGGACATGGGGTCACCGACCTGCTACGGGTCTAACTCCCTGCCACCGGTCTCACGCTATTGACGCGCGCGTCCTGCTGGTCCCCTGGGCCCCTAGCCGGTCTTTCCAAGCCCGCCCCGCCCCCCGCCCCGCGCAGGCTTTGGGTCCGCCCCGCCCCGCCCCGTCCAGCCCAGCCCCGCCCAGCCCACCCCAGCCGACTCGCCCTTCGGCTCAGGCACCTGCCTGGCCGCCCCGCGCGGCGGGGTCCTGAGGCGCCTCGGGGAAGCGCGGCGATTGGCTGCCGCTCGCGGGTAGAGCTCGGCTCCTCGGCATTTGACAACCGCAGTCTGCAAGAGGCTGAACTGAGCAGTCGCGGGGCCGGGAGGGGCCGACGTGAGAAGGACGGGTTGACGAACTGATGGATTGACGCGCGGGCGGCAGGAGGGAGGACCGACGCCAAACCCAGACCGCCGCCCTCGTGCTCCCGCCGCAGACCGGAGCCGGCCGCTTCGGTGCCCTGGCCGCCGGCCTCCCAGCCGCGTTCTCCTCCGTCGCTCCTCCGGGCTTGCCCTGGAGCCCTCAGGTGAGTGTGTCCGGGAGGCGGAGGCGGGGTCGGACAGCTGCACACCTCGGGTTGCCATGGTCACCCGTCGCCTCCTGTCACCACCTGACACGGCTTCGACTGGGCGGCCCCGAGGGCTGTTTGCGGCCCCAAAGAGGGGTCTTTAGTAGGCTTGGGTGCCGACTGGGAGGGGACTGGGGTCGTGGGTGAGGCCCCAGCATCGCGGGATGAGGACCTGCGAACTGCTGGGCCCCGGTCCGAGGTCACCGCTCCTGGACCACACCTTTCTTACACTACCAGTCGGTTTCTGGGGGCAGAGCGACACCCCTCGCCCTGGCACCGAGCAGCAAGTGAGCTCGAGGTTCGTGCCCATTTCGCCGCTGCGCCGATTCTTCCTTCCTCGCCCCTTGGTCGAGCCCGTGCTAGAACTGAGGGGCGCGCTCGCGTCCCTTTCTAGGCACGCCTTGGCCCGGAGGAGGAGAGGGAGCGGCGGGGCTGGGAGCCCCACTGGGGCCGGGTTTGGCTTTTCTTACATCAGTGGTCTCTGGGAGCAGGCCTTTGGGGGTCTGGGTGTGGTCGCGGAAAGGGGCAGCGACTAGATTTAGAACTGGGATTGTACTGGAGGGGCGCCTGCGTAGAAGAACGCAAGGTTGTGGAACTCAAAGGGTTAAACCTCTTCCCTTTATTGGGGAGAAAAATATTGGAACTCTAGCTCTGGGGCGAGGCCGTGGGCAAAGGGGGCGGGGGCGGGGGCGAGGGTTGGCCAGGGCGGCATTTGGGCTTTTGAGCAGATGATTTTTGCTTCTCTGTACACAGACATGCAGTTAGTAACCGTGCATGGTATCTGAGGGGACCTTTTTTTTTTTTTTTTTTTTAACCGTGCATGGTATCTGAGGGGACCTTTTTTTTTTTTTTTTTTTGGCAACTTGGTTTTCTCTGCGTAATGAAAGGAGAAGTCTTTGTTCCACCCAGATTCATAGATTGTGATCCTAATAGTTATTTCTTTCTTTGTTGTAGACTCTGTAGAATGCCTCAAAAAGTTAATGGCACATAAATGAACATGTAGGTTTAAAAAATGCTATAAATCTTTTTTTCACAGTAAATCCAAGTAGAATTTTTTTGTCTCCAGCGTTGGCATATGTTGCATTGACATTTTACTAAGAAGGAGAAACGCCTAAGAGCCCATTTTCCTTTATATGGCATATTTTCGAGGTCTCATTTAGGAAGAAGATGAAATGAGTAATTCTACCTTAGGTTTGGGAGGTTAGGATAGATTGCTTCCAATAGGAAAGAAACATTATTACACAGTAATGGAAAAGTCAAGCCACAACAGTATATTGTTAGGTAGAAAAGCCAAAACCCAGACACTTGAATTTGGATGCCATTATGAAGACGTAAATTTTTTTTTTTTTTTTTTTGATAGGATTTTAACCTATGTTTGTCTCCCACTGGTCCATTTCCTGGTTCTTTTCTCCCTCGTCTTAAAAACCAGTACTGTTAAGAATGTGTCATAAGAGAACAGGGGTACAATCCTATGTTACTACTTACATAATGGTGTTCAACCTCTTTTCCTGTTTGTGAAATAGAGTTTATTAGTTATTTAATGGACAGCATTTGGAATACTTAATGTATGCTGCAGTTTCAGAAACGCTTTAGTTATGAAAAGATTTGAAGTTTTCCTTAGTAGATTAGTAAGCTGAAAAATCAGATTACCTGTATTTGAGCTTTCTTTTGCTACGGATTGCATTCTTGTAAGAGCTACTAAGCCTAACATTGACTAATTTCTCATTCCGTAAAATAGTGATAATGCTTGCTATTGTTTTAGTTTGAGAATGGGCTCTGAGTTGAAAGCACTTTGGAAGGCATCTGTTGATTACCTTTTTTTTTTTTTTTTTTTTTTGAGACGGAGTCTCTCTCTGTCATCCAGGCTGGAGTTCAGTGGCACCATCTCAGTTCACTGCAGCCTCCGCCTCCTGGATTTAAGTGATTCTCCTGCATCAGCCTCCCAAGTAGCTGGGATTACAGGTGCCTGCCACCACGCCAGGCTAATTTTTGTATTTTTAGTAGAGATGGGGTTTCACCATGTTGGCTAGGCTAGTCTTGAATTCCTAGCCTCAGGTGATCCACCCTCCTTGGCCTCGCAAAGGGTTGGGATTACAAGCGAAAGCCACCGTGCCTGACCCTGTGTATTATTTTTGAACAGAAGACTTAAACGCAGGTCTTCAAACTCCAAATCCAATGCTGGCCCACACCTGAGGATACTTCAGTTTTGAGACTATTACACTGAATAGCCAAAGCTTGCATATTTCAACTAATTTTTCTCTATATTGAGTTTGTTTGTGTTGAAATGAAAAGATACCCTTTAAAAAGGATTTATACCGGCCAGGTGTGGTGGCTCATGCCTGTAATCCCAGCACTTTGGGAGGCTGAAGCGGGCGGATCACCTGAGGTCAGGAGTTTGAGACCAGCCTGGACAACATGGTGAAACCCTGTCTTTATCAAAAATACAAAAATTAACTGGGCATGGTGGCATGTGCCTGTAATCCCAGCTACTCGGGAGACTGAGGTAGGAGAATCGCTTGAACACAGGAGGTGGAGGTTGCAGTGAGCCAAGATTGTGCATGCCACTGCACTCCAGCCTGGGCGACAAAGCGAGACTCTGCCTCAAAAAAAAAAAAAAAGGGAATTTATACCACACACTCCCTTAAAACCTTTCTTTTGTGTTCTATAGTCTTGTTCACCGTAATAGCTCGATCATTGTATCCCAGTTTGTAGCGTGTTGTTAATACATAGTAAATACTCCTCAGTCATTACCTACCTGAACTTCCCCTGTTTAAATGGCTTCAGATGAATATTATCACAAGTAGGAGTTTCTTCATATGGTACGTTTAACATAATTGATCTCAATGAACTTTCCAATATTATTTATTTTTTTATTATTATTATTATTATTATTATTATTATTAGAGACAGAGTCTTGCTGTGTTGCCCAGGCTGGAGTGCAGTGGTGTGATCTCGGCTCGCTGCAACCTCTGCCTCCCAAGTTCAAGTGATTTTCCTGCCTCAGCCTCCCAAGTAGCTGGGATTGCAGGTGCACACACCTTCACACTTGACTAATTTTTTTATTTTTAGAAGAGACAGGGTTTCACCATGTTGGTGAGGCTGGTCTTGAACGCCTGGTCTCAAGTGATCCACCCACTTCGGCCTCCCAAAGCGTTGGGATTATAGGCGTGAGCCACTGCACCTAGCCTATTTATTTATTTTTTGAAACAGGGTCTCACTTTATCGTTCAGGCTGCAGTACAGTGGCGTGATGATAGCCCACTGCAGCCTCAAATTCCTGGGCTCGAGTGATCCTCCTGCCTCAGCCTCCCGAGTAGCTAGGACTACAGGTGCTTGCTACCACACCCAGCTAATTTTTGTATTTTTTGTAGAGATAGGGTTTTGCCATGTTGCCCAGGCTGGTGTTGAACTCCTGGGCTCAAGTGACTTGCCTGCCTTGGCTTCCCAAAGTGCTGAGATTACAGGCATGAGCCACCGCACCTGACTTGATATTTTTTAAATTACTGAAATATTTTCAAAAATAAGTAAGCTTATTCCAAAGTAAATTTTTATACTGCACAGCGCAGTAGCTCTCCCGCAGCAATTCATTAGCAGTCCTTTTGACACATTGTCCTTACCAAGGCTAGGAGCTCTGAAGGGAAGAAATTTATATTGAGCACCAGTTGCATGCTTTCCACTCTGCTAGGAGCTTGTTCTCGTTTTATAAGTCAACATCCTATTTTACAGAGAAATAGTACTGGGCTGGGCGAGGTGACTCATACCTGTAATCCAAGCATTTTGGGAGGAGGCTGAGGTGAGAGAATCACTTGAGCCTAGGTTGACAAGGCTCTACCAGCCTGGGAGACAGTGAGACCCAGTCTCAAAAAAAAAGAGAAAGAAAGAAAAAACAGTACTACATGCAATGCAAAAAGACATAAAATTTTATACTATTTATAATTACTCGTTATATAGTACGCTTGACGTATGTAACTCAAATAATGTTTTTTTCCTATGGCTAAGTACCATGTTTTGTGACTCTTGTTGATGTGATGAGAAAGAAAAAGAAAGTGGAACCTTTTATAAAATCTTTGTTTTTTTCTTTTTTTTTGAGACAGAGTCTCACTCTGTCGCCCAGGCTGGAGTGCAGTGGCGTGATCTCCTGCCTGCTGCAAGCTCCGCCTCCTGGGTTCACACCATTCTCCTGCCTCAGCCTCCTGAGTAGCTGGGACTACAGGCGCCCGCCACCACGCCCGGCTAATTTTTTTATATTTTTAGTAGAGACGGGGTTTCATTGTGTTAGCCAGGATGGTCTTGATCTCCTGACCTGGTGATCCACCCGCTTCAGCCTCCCAAAGTGCTGGGATTACAGGCGTGAGCCACTGCGCCCAGTGGTTTTCTTTGAAACTTTAAGAAAAGCTTTGGAAATGAAATTGCTGGAAGTGCAAAAATGGCATTTCACAGATAGATGATGATATAAAGAAATTTTAGGTGTGTTCATTGTAAAGAGCCTAGATTATGGGATATGTTAGTTTCACTGTGTATAGTTCTTGATCAGACCATACCTGGAGTGTTGTGCTTTATTTTTTATTTATTTGTGTTTTTGAGATGGAGTCTTGCTCTGTCGCTTAGGCTGTAGTACAGTGGTGTGATCTCAGCTCACTGCAAGCTCCGCCTCCTGGGTTCACACCATTCTCCTGCCTCAGACTACCGAGTAGCTGGGACTACAGGCGCCCGCCACCATGCCCGGCTAATTATTTTTGTATTTTTAGTAGAGATGAGGGTTCACCATGTTAGCCAGGATGGTCTCAATCTCCTGACCTCGTGATCCGCCCGCCTTGGCTTCCCAAAGTGCTGGGATTACAGGCATGAGCCACCATGCCTGGCCTATTTATTTATTTATTTATTTATTGAGATGGAGTCTTGCTCAGTTGCCTTGGCTGGAGTGCAGTGGCGCCATCTCGGTTCACTGCAACCTTCACC